TGGGGTCCCCATCTCCATCCCACCAGGGGTCTGCGTACCCATCCCATCAGAATCCCCACATCCACCCCATTGGGCTCCCCATGCCCCAGCCCAGGGGGAAGCTGGAGGTGGCAGAGATCTGATGGGACGGGGTGGTGATGTGAAGAAGCCGTATTAATATTTATTCCACCCAGCAGCTCCGCACGGCTCCGCCGTGCTCTGACCGCAGCACCAACCCTCAGGCACCGCAAACACAATTTGAAAACAATGTGACGGAAATGTTTAATCTGCTCAGCCCATCTGTGCTGCGTATTTCTCCAGATCTCCCTGAGAGAGGCGCCTTCGAATCTCCACATTGCCTTTAATATTCTCCTAAATCACCTCCCCACCGCACTCCCCCGCCCACTCCCAGAGCACCTCTGATATTCTCGCAAGGGCGCGGGGGGTGCGGTGGGGAGGGGGATGGGGGTGTCGGCGGGGAGATTTTTTATCTTAAAGTATTTCCCAGGGTTGGTGTTCCTGTGCCCCTCGGACAGACGTAGGGAGAGGAGAAAAGGAATAAGGGGTGAGGAGAAAGGAGGTGGAGGGGGGTGGGATTGGAGTGAAGTTATTGTGCCGTTGCTGGGGGGGCGACCGGCGCGGCTGTTCAGAACCAAACAGGCTGGAATGGAGCTGAAATCTTTCTTGAAGAATTGTTTTTATGCATCTCTTTCCTCGGCTGCCTGTGGTTGGAGATGGCACTGCTCCCTGCAGTGCCCCATCCTGCTCTGAACAGCCGCAGGGAGCTGGGGGGGGGGGCCTAAAGCAGCATGGTGAGGGTCTGGGGCAGCCAAGGCAGCTCCTTGTGGGGGTACAGCTGGCTCTGAGGGCTCCTGGCCCTGGCCCTTCCCCATCCGCATCCCTTGTCCCTGTCCCCATCTCTGTCCCCACTGCAAAGGACACAACACCCATGCCTGCCTTCATCCCCATCCCTATTCCTTGTCCCTATCCCTGTCCCCGTCCCTATCCCTGTCCCCGTCCTCATCCCTGTACTGTCCTTGTCCCTGTCCCTGTCCCTGTCCCCGTCCCTATCTTTATCCTTATCTTTATCCCTATCTTTATCCCTATCTTTATCCCTATCTTTATCCCTATC